AAAGCTCGGAACCTGTGGGGGGTCTCCAGAGGTCGGTGTACCTACTCTCTCCCGCCGCCACACAACTAGGTATGTTACCTATATGGGTAGGTATAAATGTCATAGTCTGAAAATGCTCTCTGGGTTTCACATGCTTGTTCAAAGCAAGAGGTATCTGTACTTTTCCGAATTGTTTTATAGTGGTAAGGTCATGAATCCGCGTGCCTGACCTTCCAGTATACCTATGCTACACCGATCCGTCGTCATGGTGCAGTGGGCCGACCGGTGGAAGCACCGTGGGACGGGAAATGGAACTGGTGATTTTGCCTTAAATTGAGCTTAAAGATTTCACGCAAGAATCAGATGGATGAAGCATAAGTAATGCCAACTGCGCGGCACCTCGTGGACGTAAAAAAATAGCCGATCACCCCCCCCCCCTCCCGGTGACGGATAAATGTTATGTCCCGCGAGTGTGACTTTGGCCCCCCCCCCCCCCTTTTGCTAGCGGCTGCGACCGCCAGTGCGCAGGCGTCACCGATAGCTTCGGTCATGGATGAAGTATTCCTGGATAGGACACTCCCTATTCCCCAACACTAGCGCCAGCGACCAAGCGGCCGCCCTGGTGGCGGAGCTCCGAAACATCGGCGGCGAGTGCGCCGGCGGCCGCCGCACCCAGGGGTAGCCAGTAACAGTTGGTAGCATTAGGCCAAATGGGCGCTCAAAAACTACTACCCCATAGGGTTTGCATGTTAAATCGTCCTTTTTCAAGCGAGCCCCACACGTAAGCTAAAAGATAAATTGCCAATATTATTATGGGGAAAGGTAGCCTAAAGCTTCCCCTACAACCTTTTTATCTAGCGTTTTTCGATGCGGAGGCCATAACAGGTCCAAAAAGCATTGGGCGCTGCCCGAGGTACCAAAAGCCCCTCCATGAGGGCACTAGTTCCTGCGCATGCGCACATTGCCTCAACCCTGTACTAGCGTAAGTTAGCGATACTGCTCACGGAGTCGATCAGCCAATGAGCGTCCCCGATTACATTAATAGATGTCGCTAGCATCACGTAAATCCTGCTTGCGAACACATTTTAAGAATGAAACAGCTGCGCCATTTCCGCCTTCCATAGACTCCTTCCATCTTAGTATCAACTATAAGCTTTTCAACTAACTTTATTCTAAGTTTTAAACTATGGTTAGTATGTTATTTCTGGTTCATATAATTTAAAAATAGCTGCTTTATGAATTTGTCTTTACTCGTCAGAATGGAATACGCTATTTATTCCATATTCAAAAAATATATCACCCTCCATGTAACTCATCCAGGTAAAATGGGCGCTTTCCGCGTCGTTGGTGTACCCGTTGTTCTATATACCCTGGCCGCACCGGCTTTAGCGAACTTTAACTCATAAGACACGATTTAAGAGACTTCACACATATTTTAAGTTCTTTCTTATAATTATCATGACTCCATTTAGTCACTATCACATACGGAATCATTACCTGATACCCATAAACTGAGCCGGTATTCTTGACTTGCCGATGCAATTTACCATCAAATATCATCCTTCCTCGGCAGTCAAACAAGTTCCTAAATCCTATTGATGATTTAATACAAATATCAATGAAAATAAATCGTTTCGCGGACTGACTCTGGGTATAAAGAAGTTATTTTTTCCTTGTACTTCGACCTTTATTGACAGGTCTTCAAAGGGGCAATGCGATTCAAAAAACTTCTTTATACCCAGAGTCAGTCCGCGAAACGATTTATTTTCATGAATATACCTGGGTTTAAATATGACTTTACAGTCTCATATGACAAATATCAACTTATTTTCATGTTATCGCATAAAACTTCACTTTATTCTAACATTGGCTCTTCGGCTGTAATCACGAACCCTCACTTGTCAGCAGAATTTAAGAAACTTCTTAAATCAAATCTGGGAAAAGAATATTTTCATGACATTCCTCAATTCCTGTTCTACTACGTTCACAAAAATTTTCATCAAAATCGGTTACAGGTAAGTAAGAAACGACAAAAGTATACAAAAAGACACGCTCCGCCCATAGCCCGCAATGCTTAAATGGCGCCAGCGCCCTCGCCGTCGGGAAATCCGCCGCCGCCGCCGGGTGGTCGGAAAATCGGCGGAGTGTCCCATCCAGGAATACCTAATCCATGGCTTCGGTGGTGTTAACAGTCGAGGTAGGTGTATTGTAAGTATATTGACATGGATATGGAAGCACTGTTGAATTATATGACGTCATTGGAATATGAAAAGTCTAGAACAATATGCAAAGCCTCTAGAACGTGTCGAGCGGGACAGATTGAGACTCAGCCGACTACAGCAGGACAAAGTGGGACTCAGCCGACTACCATGGGACATAGTGGGACTCAGCCGGTCCCAGCGGGACACAATGGGATTCTGCCGGTCCCACCGGGACACAATGGAACTCGGCCGGTCCCAGCGGGACAAAGTGGGACTCCGCCGACTACAGCGGGACATAGTGGGACTTAGTCGACTACTGCGGGGCATAGTGGGACTTAGCCGACTACCCAGCCAATAATTAACTTGGGCTGAGGTTGGGCTGGGGGATTTCACTTGGGCTAAGCCCGAGTTGGCCCAACCTTTGTTTCCTTAGAGTGTGATTTGGGTTGGGCTGAGCCCAAGCTAAATACGCGACTCGGGCAGAGTTTGGGCAGGCCCATGTAGAATCCGAAACTTGGGCCCAAGTCGGACAGCATCTGGGCATGCCACAACCCAATCCGGACTGTAACTCGGGCTGAATTCGGGCATGCCCAAGTAGGATCCCTTACACGGGCTGAGCCCGGATATTGCATGGGCACGTGAAACGCGGGCGGGTGCTGCCACCTGCCGTGCGGGTGGCAGCCAGAGGATGTGCCGGCGACCGACAGAGGATGTGCGTGTCGCCTCTAAATATATGAACCCAAATTAAGTTGAATAACTTTAATAAGAAGGGCGGTAAAGCCACAATTTCAATGGTGAATGTGGGAGAATAGCTAAATGATCTAACACAGTCATTTGTATTTACTCTTTTCAGTCAGCATCAAGCCCCAGCGATCGCACCGCCTTAAAACTCAGTAAAACTCGCAAGCGAAACACCGTACAGTATATTCCATTATAAGCAGCTGCCGGCTCTTAGATTTATACGCGTTATCGAAGCGTAGTAGGTAGGCCGCACGAAAAGCATTCTAACGTTGATAAAAGTAGATAGGGTAAGTACGATTTAGCGATTGTATAGGTAGGACTTCGTAGGATCGTAGGAAGAACGAATGAGTGATTAAGAATATACCTAAATAATAGGCTTAGTAAAGAAAGAAATGGAGTGGTTCAATTACCATACCACTCCAAATCACTTATTACCATTAATTATATTTCATTGCTTCTTCAGTCGTACCTATGTTGCTTCGAACGTCACAAAATAACAAGTTTGTCGCGGTATTCGATCAACACGGAACGAACACCAATCGATTCCAAATTTTCTCTGATCATTTTATGGCCTAAGCGACTCGGGACGTATGATCACACGAACACTGCATCCGCCCATGGCAGGTGGAAGTAATGGATCGGGACCCAACCGGCTTTGGCCTGGGCTTGCCCGAGTTATAAACCGGACTAGCCCACATGGGGCCACAGGTTAGCGCACTAGTTCAGCCGATGGCATAACTCGGGCTTTGCCCATGCGAGTTCCCCGTAACCCGGAAATGACTTGGGCTTGCCCACCCGGGGTCCGACCGGCAGCGCTGCTGCGTACTCGGGCAAGCCCACGTGGGGCCACAGGTTAGCGCAATAGTTAAACCAATGGGAGGACGTGGGCTCAGCCCAACTTGAATCCCATAACCCGGACCTGGCTCGGGCATGTCGTAGTGGGGCCCGACTGGGCAAAACTCGGAATTGCGTTGGGCTAGGTGTGTCAAAAACCAAGCAAGATCCCAGTCTGGACCGGGGCTAGCCCAAGTACCGTATTCGGGCTGGTCCGGCTTCAGCCCAATTGGGCCCCAATCAGAATTGTTCGCTGGGTACAGCGGGACATAGTGGGACTCGTCCGATCTCAGCGGGACAGAGTGGGACTCGGCTGGTCCCAGCGGAACAAAGTGGGGCTCTGCCGACTACCGCGGGGCATAGTGGGATTCAGCCGGTCCCAGCGAGACACAATGGGACTCGGGACTCCGCCGACAACAGCGGGACATAGTGGGACTCAGCCGACTACTGCGGGACATAGTGGGACTTAGCCGACAACAGCGGGACATAGTGGGACTCGGTCGGTCCCAGCGGGACACAACGGGACTCGACCGGTCCCAGCGGGACAAATTGGGACTCAGGCGACTACAGCGGGACGTAGTCGGACTAGTCCGGTCCCAGCGGGACAAAGAAGGACTCAGCCGACTACAGCGGGACATAGTGGGACGTGGTCCGGCCGACTTTGTCTCGCTGGAGCCAACTGAGTCCCACTTTGTCCCGCTGCAGCCGGCTGAGTCCCACTATGTTCTGCTGTTGTCGGCTGAGTCCCACTTCGTCCCGCTGGGACCGGCCGAGTCCCATGTGTCTCGCTGGGACCGGCTGAATCCCACTATGCCCCGCGGTAGTCGGCAGAGCCCCACTTTGTTCCGCTGGGACCAGCCGAGTCCCACTCTGTCCCGCTGAGATCGGACGAGTCCCACTATGTCCCGCTGTAGTCGGCTAAGTCCCACTATGCCCCGCAGTAGTCGACTGAGTCCAACTATGTCCCGCTGTAGTCGGCGGAGTCTCACTTTGTCCCGCTGGAACCGGCCGAGTTCCATTGTGTCCCGGTGGGATCAGCAGAATCCCATTGTGTCCCGCTGGGACCGGCCGAGTCCCACCATGTCCCATGGTAGTCGGCTGAGTCCCACTTTGTCCTGCTGTAGTCGGCTGAGTCTCAATCTGTCCCGCTCGACACGTTCTAGAGACTTTTCATATTTCAATGACATCATAAAATTCAACAGTGCTTCCATATCCAGGTCAATATACTTACAATCCACCTACCTTGACTGTTTACACTACCGACCGAAGCTATCGGTGACGCCTGCGCTACCGTTACCGGTAATGGTTGGTGGGTAATAGTCCAAGTAATGGTGGTGAAAAACACCTGCATAACCAAACAATCAATCGGCGTCAGCCCTTCATTATCCATCGTGGGGTAAGTCAACGTTCTATTTTGGTTTGTTTCATAATTCATTTCAGTTGGGGAAACTACGAAGCGCCGAACTAAAATTGGATCAGCAAATCAACGGCTGGAGTGGGCGGGGCGATGACCAAATGGCCGTAAAATTAGAAAACTTCATCTTTTCCATGCATCCTAGTGTTCAAATGAAAAAAGGCATAAGAATGTTTTTTAACCACACAAGGCCTACACTCACTCGGTGAACGATGCACTGGCGGCTGTAAATTGCAGAGTTACAATACAAGGTCAAACAGTGATTGGCAAATATGGCGGATTGAAACAGATGCGTCAAAAAATGTAAGCAGCACCATGGTTTTAAAATGTCATTATTTCTATTATTTTGTATATGGTTTTTCCCATTGTGGTTAAATAATTATTGTAAATTTAAATAGGTATCTTCATTTATTGTAATTAAATAAATCTTTTAACAATCTTCTTTCAAAATACTGATCCATTTATGGAATGGTCAGCTGATTGTGACGCCTGGAACCTGTAGAAAAGCCGTTTTTCTATTGCCATTTTCAAGTGAATTTGCCGAATTTGATCTAATCGCGTTGATTCCTAGTGGAAAATGGAAGCTTTTTCTCTGCCATAAGTGGATGCGATACCGCAAGTACCGGCTTTTTATACCGTTTTTCACCCTTAGTAGCGACGGCTGCATTTATGCCCATATATGTTCATCAAAAGTCTATGTATTGACCGATCCATTTTTGGATCTTCGCTTCGTAGTTTCCCCAACTGATTTCAGTTTCGGGTTCAGGCTATGTTGATGGTTGATGTATTTCAATGTTGACAATGACTGTGAATGTGATGCTGAATCAGTCTGAATCACTGCATTGATTGAAGTCTATATCCTACCATTGACTTCTAGAATATGGTTGAAAATTGGGTAAATGTCAAGATTAAGTCCTAAAAAGATTTTATGGATAATTTTTCACAATATTATGTTAATTGTCAGCATTAATCCAAAAATGATGCTTAGGGGAGAGTGGGGCACATTTGTGCAAAAAATGGATAAGTCCATATATCTGTTCTTTGGTTAGTGCAATGGCAAAATTGTTGATTGTAGTATGGAAAGGAACTATTGCAGATATTTTTCCTCTTAAAAGTTATCCTCTAAAATTATTGCTTCTATTAGAAAAAATGACTTTTAATAGCTCTGAACATTTGCACGAAACTGTGTTAACTGCCCCACCTATGGGGCACATTGGTATAGGTATAGGTATAGGTATATAGATAATGGACTTGGGGTAATGCTATTTGTTGTCCATGTCATTATTGGCTGGGAAACATGTGAGGGTACTCAGTGAGGTTGGAGGTTACAGGTCACAGTTGGCTTTGAGCTGGAGGTGCTTATCTAGCTTAGCTTTAAATGTAGCAGTGGTGTCAGCAGACACGACATCACCTGGTAGCTCATTCCAGTCATTAGCCACCCTCTGTGAGAAGAACCTTTGTCTGGCTTGATGGACTGACTGCTCCTTGTGTAATCTCATATGGTGACCTCTTGTGTTTGTCGTCCTCAGTTTGAAAACTTCTCTCTCTTCACAGTGAGCTTCCCTGACATTATCTTATAGGTCTTAATCAAGTCGCCTCTTTTTATCCTGTCTTTAATAGATACGGTCTTCAGGACTTTTAGTCTTACCTGGTATGGCCTGTCCTTTAACCCCCTCACCAATCTTGTAGCTCTGCGCTGGATGTTTTCTAAGAGACTGATATCTTGGTGCAAGGGATGGGGCACTTCCGTGGACCGTGCACCCTGCAAAGTTCGAGAAATTACCGGGCATTACCAGAAATTTACCAAAGGAAATTGGCAGGGGGTCATTTCACTTGATTTCTTTTGACAAGAATGCATTGCAAAACATATGTAAAAGGAATGAGCTGGCCAACAAGAATGTGCCAACTGCCGGCCTCCATGGCCTCGCCATGGATGAGATAATAATGGATTGGTGTCTTCGCAGTTTTTGGCGACATTGAGCTCAGGCCTGCCATCTAGCGGGAGAATTGTCGTAAGTTAGGAGCAAGCCGAATGAACGCCGCTGATTAGCATTGTGACACACGGGAGTGTGGTGTAGTAGCAGGCTTGTTGTGCAATTTTTCAAAAGGTTAGGTATGTCTTTATATGACAGTAAAAGCGAAGAAATTAATAGATTTATGTGCAGGGTCAGTAATAAGATAAGCAGTTCCATGTTATTTCCTCATTAAATCGTGAAACAGGGAGTTATTGGAGACTTCGCCAGCACGTGTCGTTTTCGCTATTTTTCACATGAGTCTTTACTTGGCCTAAATCAAACAAATTATCCGATCAAAGAACAAAACGAACGTAAGTACTATCTATAAGTCTAATGAAAAAGTTAAACGGAATTGCTAACGTCATTGCCGCTCAATATGCCATTCAAGACGCTCTATGAAAAGGACCCAACCAGTGCTGCGTAGTCGATGAAATTTCAGTGACTTTGTTTCCAACTCCGATTCCGGTATCCAAATATCGACTCCGACTCCTTCGGGCAGAGCTGTCGATTCACACAGACTCCGACTCTGCAGCCCTGGTAAGTCTGTGGAGTCGATGACTTTTCGGTGACGTTCGACTCATACTCCGACTAGAGCTTTTAAAAATCAACCGATTCCGAGTCGGAACAGAACCGCTGGCTCTGACTACAACTCCGCAGTCCTGGCCCAAGATAGCCGCCTAAAACAACTTTGATATGTGATCTTCTTCGTACATTGTTAATGTTATTTTAAACATGGAGTGGAAAAGGGAGACGAAGCCTTCACAAACAAGGATCTCCTGTTGCGGATCAATCAGCTGCTGGAACAGAAAGGCATAAACACCACGCATCTCATTTCATCGTTTTCCTAACGACTCCAAATGTAAGCACTGCTCAATGCAGTGCGAGCATCGATGTGACATTTGTGTACCAAGTTTGAGTGTTATCCGCCCAGCCCTTCTTGAGATATGGAAGCGGCACCCCGCACGTGCGCACGTGCAGTACAGTGTTCGTCATGGGCCGGGCCAGCCCAATGGGCCATGGGCTGGGCTGGGCTACGGGCTGGGCTGGGCCCTCAAATATGAAGGATCGATGGTCTGTGGATGGGCTGGGCCAAGAACTGTAAAGTGGAGTCAAGGGTTCGCGACTGAGACAAAAACTATAACTACATAGCTTATTACTGTGCAAGGCTCAAAAACGAGTTAATAAAGCACGCATGCATTGTGCAATGTGCAATGTGCATGCTGCTAGCAAAAGATTGTTCCTTTGCTAGCTTTGGATACCTGTGTGGTGTCAATAATTTTTAAGCTATTCATTTTTAACGGGCTGGGCCGGGCTGGGCTTTGACGCTTTTACCATGAATGGGCTCGGGCTGGGCCGGGCTCTGAACCCATGGGCCTGGGCTGGACTGGACTGGGATTTTGCGGCCCGTGGCGAACACTGGTGCAGTAGCACCCCCATAGTGACACATGGAAATGCATTGGCCACTTGGTGCCTAACTATTGACGAAATTTTACCGTAATGGGCCCAGCCATTGCGGAGTTACTTCATGTGGAACAATTTCGACACCCCTAAGTTGGCACGTGACACGTGCCGTAACATTAACTAAGATGAAGAAAATCGGGCGAAATTCGGAAAAGAAGGAATAAGCCTACCAAATGTGTATGGCATATTGTCAAACTGCTGTACCATTGTGAGTAAATGGCCATATAAAAGCTCGTACAAGCCAATGGGACTGGGCGTTTCAATACACACCGTCTTACGCATTTTATTTTCGTTATTACCTAAAGGCTGCTTGACGTTTTTGGCTTTCAAGCATTTAAGACATTTTTTGTCGTCTCAGGTCCAGTTAGATTACCTCCAACTCGTGGGAATATGCACTTCGAGCCAACTAACACACCACACCCACGTGTGTCATAATGCTGAGAGATGGCGTTCACTTGGCTTACTCCTAACTTACGATAATTCTCTCGCTAGATGGCAGGCCTGATCCCAATGTCGCGGATCCCAATGTTAATTTCCACGAGACACCAATCCAGTGTTATATCATCCATGGCCTCGCCATGGCTAACATCCATGGCCTCGCCAAGTTCGCGTGAATTAGTCGTCACGACGTCGCAAGCAGCTGAGACTGAGTCAGGCGAGCGTCATTAGTGAAATCTACTACAGATAAAGTCATAAATCTTAAATCGCAAAAACTAAAAACAATATGCACAAATGTGCCCCCAGGCAGTGCGTACACGAACCTGCCCCACAACGGCATTTGTAATATATTTCAAAATTTCTTGTTGAAAAAATGACACTTTAACAACAAACAAGTTTGCAGCAGTTCCGTGACTAGAGTGAGCTTCTTCGCCCCCAGTTTTGAGAAGCTGAACCACATTCCGAGTCAGGATCATGAAAATGGATGTACAACCTACAAATCTACCAACCTAAAACCTAAAACCTACAAACCTACAACCTAACCACGTCCATCAATTGAGCAGCAGATTGATAACCGCAGGTTGTTGTTTCATTAGACAAACACTATTCGTTAGAATTGTGTTTTTCTATTGAAAAACAACCGGAGCGGTCGTTCTCCGGGCTATGTTTTGCAAGTCTGGCAGCGAATTGGGGCAACTTGGGTGGGGCCTAAACGAATCGTTCAATCTTCGTAAAAAGTTCAGTGTATGGGCTCCCGGAGGCGATCTACCTGATGGCACCGGTCGCTACTCGCTAAGAAGTCTTTTGCGCGTGGCACGTGCGATTCCATTTTCCCCATGTTAAGTGAACGGGGTTTTGGACACTTTTTGCGCGATCGCGAATGGCGGGAAAACGAGCCAAGGAAGAGGTGGTTTTCTTCCGAGCATTTTATGGCAAACACGTTCCGGTACACGCCAGTGTGCGCCGTATACCCGCCAGAATCTCGTAACACCTCTATGCACAAAGTCAAAGTTGGAATTTTGCTGTGTCCCATGTTAAGTCAATGGATGGCGATGCCGAGACTTTGCA